GTTGATTCAATGATTTTATATAGAAAAACGAAATTTGGGTTCCTTCAATTTCACATATCTTCCAGATATGCAAACTTCCTGAGGTAAATAAATATAAACCGTTGTTTATCAGGAAGAAAGAATTCACCAAAAAACCCGAACAACACACTACTTGGTAGACAAAACAAGCAAGGAATTCCAGCCAAGACAGCTGTTAAGCCTTTGAGAAATTTCAAAGAAATTTTAACTTGCAACTAATACCAAACATAGAACATTTAGAAAATACAAGTTAAAATACCTACTGCTCTATGAAGTTATCTGATCTCTGATTTCTATTTTTAGCACAATATTTTAAGGTATGCAATGGCTGTAGTTAAAGTTTTTCTGCTCACTTTACATTAAAATAGAAGATATTCTGAAATAACATTGGTACAGCACTATGTATACATTAAATGCCCACTATTCTATCACCCATGCTTGAGATATTTCTAAAAATCAATAGTCCCAAAATTATGTTACCATTTTAAAGTTATTTTTCCCCATTTCCTCTCAAAACCATCTACTTAATTACTTTTAGAGCCACTAAGACCAGTTCAGAGAATTACATTCCATCCATTATTACATTTCTTTTTAAAGCTTCCCTTCAGCAAGCACAGGGTCTATATGAAATAGTGAATGCATGGGAAAGAAAACTTGACACTGAATCAAGAAAACCATATGTTCAAAAATAATTTTTCAATATGCTTAGAATGTTTTATATAAGATACAGCATATTTACACATTTTCTATTTGTGATGATCATGCAGTTCTTTGAACAGATTAGCAGCAATGAAGGAAAAATTTTGAAAGATTAAAATTTCCTGTATGCACTGTTAAGACTGGATTTATAGTTGCAAAAACGCTGTGGGTTAAACAATTTTATATGAAGAAAAGTAATGAAGAATAAGCAATTTCAATTCCACACCCAGAAAAATAGAAGATGGTCTTGCACCTCGGCAGTGCAAAAGCTGTGGGCTTTAGTGAATTGCCAAGAAGAATTAATTCTGAGGACAGTCACATAGGAAAAAAGCGCAGCTATGGGTTTTGGTCCATTAAAACTCTGAACAAGCCAGATCATTCAAGACTGGAGCTAACTAACTGGGATTCAATGCAGTTTCTTAGGCTTCAGGAAACAAGGCATGTACACCCGCATGCACAGATCTCCATTTCAGTTCTACTTAGACCATTCCACCAGTAGGGGAACTAAAAACTACTTAAGGCACAGAATTATCTTACATCTGAGATTATGGGCCACTCCCATGTCTGCCACAAAACATTAGCTGATAAACTGAGTAATTTTCCGAAAATGCTTTCTTAGGAGAATTAAATTACCTTTGTAGATGTAAAAAAATCTAACCAGTGTATTTTCTGAACATGTTCCCTAGGTCTTCTCTTTCTCATAAATATTAATGTACAAAATCAGAGGCCAAGTCGTTCCAAAATTCATACACTCTATGTATAAATTTAGAAGTCTTAATGTGGTATTAGCACACAGAAACAGTAAACATCACACTTGGTTTTTAGTACATTTAAATGTTGAGTATTTTCCAGTAGAACACTCCCAAGGGACCTAATTAACCAAATGATGATTTTTCAGATTAGCAAAAAAGCTAGATATGTAGAGGGAAATACAGGCTAAGAAGTTTGTATCTGCACTAGTGACAAGCATACGTTTTAATCTCTGCTCACTGTAGTTGCATGATGAGAAGAACTGACATTTATTTTCGTCTTTTTATGGGGTGGCCCCGGGTTATATAAGGTTATTTCACATGAAGACTGAAAATCTCATCTGTCAATTCTCCCATTTGTGATTATATTAACATAAATTAAACCATTATAACTGAACAACCTCTAAGCCAGGAGAGGATGATTCATAATTAATTGATGTCTGGCATCAGTATCAGGAAAGATCTTGGCTTTATGGCTAGCTGGAAATTAATGACAGTGATTTCTTTATCAAGTGACAGGGAGAATAAAATAAAGATGAAAGAAATTTGAAATATCAAAATACTAAACAATACAAATCAAAGCTGCCCAGTTAATGAAAATGGTTTCATTCACCTAATAGCAAATCAGATAAGTCTCCCACAGAAATCACTCTGACAATCTGATTCATTAACCAAAGTTTTAGGAAAACTGTTTAAAACTACCATTCTATCTGCCATTAGAACCAATACATAAGCAATGACAAATACTACCCTTTACCCTGAGTGAGCTCCTGGATGTATCTTTAATGCTACCCTTTCAAAACGTTAAGTCTTTCAAAACACAGTCCTACTGATATTTTAGTATGTCCCTAAAGGAAGGACCATGAACAGAAAATTAGTCACGACAGAAAGCTTTTATATTCAGTTGAGGATAATTACGACTTTAGCACGTTAACCCTTGTAATTTCATTTGTTCACAAATAAATCACACAGAATGTGAACAGTACTAACAGGCATTTTTAAGAGTTTGAAAATGAAAAACATTTTCAGAAGTTTGCTAACATGTTGGTAACTGTGCATAGACTGTGTATATCTATCTCGTTAACGTACATATGTATGTGCAAGAGTAAACGTTTTTCATTTAAAAAGCAGCATCATTAGTTTTTGCTGCTTCACTATTTCAAAGATGGGAAGACACTTATTTTTCCTATGTAAGAATAAAGCAAAACACTTATTTCATGAGAAATACAGTCTAGTTTTTCCTGCTGTACATAACAAATATTTTACATACACTTCTACTCTTCTATTGAATTATACAAGAATGCTACAGATGGGTTGTCACATCTCGATTAGCTCATTTTTCACAATGCTCTCATGACACTTTATATCATTTGCACAAGCTTTATTTGTCAAAATCCCACAGCACCTTTCTGACAGCAGATGTTTTGAAATGCATCCTATTTTGCTTGGCAAAGGCTTATTTTAATGGGTTTTATAGTACGATTTCAATGAAGAATTCAGTGGTCATTTAACTCAGTTTCAGAAAAATAAAATGATTCATAAATGTTCATTCTGTAACTCATATAAGGTACTTTTAAAGCAACCAGCCTTATAAAATGTGGGCTTTTTTCCAAATAAACATTCACTCTAAATTATTCTGTGTAAGTTCTTTAAGTAATGACTTCTGCTTGTTTCTTTGTTTTTCCCTCCTGAATAGCATGCAACTTTGAATCCACAGGTACTTCATGTAGCACTTTACTCATCAGGAATATATGCAGCAAAAGATACAATGGATTTTTCTTTCAGCAGGTATTCTTATGGATGAGCATAATTCTGAGACCTTAATGTAAATCAATGGATAAAATATCGCCACGTCTCCATTTGAAGGATTCTTCAAATAACAAACTTGGGGATCTGGTGCTGCAGACTGTACAAGTAAATAGCCCTTTTCCTGATTATCCTTACTGAAATCACTTGTATCAGTGGCATGGGTTAACAGCTGAGATACATTTTAATCTAGTTTTCTTATTCAAGAATGTCACAAAGTGCTTTACGAAAAATGAATGAATGAGGAAGGCTGAGTTCACGAGGCTCTTTAAAGCCTCTTCCTACCTAAGAAAATGTTTGGCATCTTGGTCCTGTGAGACAGTCATCTCCTCCTCAAACCATAATATAGTCAAATACAGAGATTTTCTCCAAATCAGGCTGCACAGGTGGTCGAGAACAATTGTTCAGTTAGCAAATCCCCCTCAACTGGTTTTCACGAACAAGTATCACATGTGTAAATCCACTATCATAAACCAAGTACTCTATTATCTGAGCACACATGCAGACTGCCTAAAAAGAAGCCATCATAGGTTTTTGCCACTGACATTTTCTCACTCGTCTTCCCTATACCACTGTACTACCTAAGAACGGCAAGATTTGGCTTGCATTAGGAGTTACAAGAAACAATCCTTACAGCAATAAAGTCATGTAAAAATAAAATTGCATGGAATTTGTCATTTATGCTATTTCAAGTGTAAAGCATGGAAAAAAGCAGGATCAATCAGGACAGATCACTGATTATGCTTCTTAAAATTATCTTCTGACCCAACCTGAAGAGTAGCTATAGTATACATACCAAACTACAACACATGGTGGCATTCTTTAGTGTAACAGAGGGCTGCTTGTACTTCACCACTGACTTGTAGGTATTAGCCAGTTTTTGAGTGATATTTAACTATTTCACTCTTCATCACCCTTTGCTCTAAAACTACTTGCTTCCTGAGGATGAGTATGAGTTATCAGTATTTCTGAACGCTGTTAAATATCGAGTTCAATACCACAAAATCAAAAAAATAGAGAAGTCACTGCAATATCATTTAACTCCTTTTATTTTTAGGGTTCTAATACAAAGTGCTGGATAAAATGGAGTCACCACGGTACTAGTTTAAGCCATCTCCGATGACTACCAGCCATCTACACCAAAGAAGAACTGCCTGCAAAACTTGTGGGTGTTTATGAAGAGGGCCTTGACCTGGGCAGTCACAGGGATGACAAGCAGCTCTCCTACTGCTGCCGGCTGCGCCGGTGACTGGGGAGTCACCGGGACCCTGCACCATGGTCAGGCTGCACCTGCCAAAGAGAAGCGGTCAAGCGACAGTCCCCAGGCGCCGAGCACTTGAAAACCTTTCCACACTGTGAGCTCTTTGTCCTTTAAACAGAAACACGGGCGAAACGGGGACGCACGGAACAGCTCCCGCCACGCCGGCTGCCTGAGCCGACGGGCTCCCTACCACGGCGCCCGCCTGCCCCGATCACCACCCGAGCCCCGGGGCGGGGCGGCAGCGCAGCACCCCGCAAGCGGGCGGTCCCGACCGACGGCCGTGCCCCCTGAGCCCTTCGCCCGCCGGCAGGGACCGGGAGCCGCCCGCCGGCAGGAGCAGCGGTTGCCGCCTCCCGGCGCGCCGGCGCCCGGCCCCCGGCCCGGCCCGGGAAGTTTTTCGCCACAGGTTGCCCTCTCCCGCCCGCCTTCCCCGGACCCCGCGGGCGGGCCCGGCCACAGGGACGCACCTTGGCGCCGCAACCGCCGCTTCTTGAGCCCGAAGATGCGGACCTTGGAGAAAATGTCCACCAGGTTGCCATTGCAGAGCCCGCGGTTCTTGCTAGGGCTATTCCGCCTCCTGCTGGCCGAGGGCCGGTCCCAGTGCTGCTCCCTCGCCTGCCGCTTCTGCCGGATCAAGCCGCTGGCGATGGCCGCTGCCATGGCTGCTCGCCGGCTCGCCCACGGGCACCGGGGAGGGCGGCGACGGGGCTCAGCCCCGGCGGGGACCCATCCCCTGGGGCGCGGGCGAGCGGGAGCCTTCTCCGGGCCGAGGCACGGCTACAGCGGGTCACCCCCGCCCTGCGGCCCGCAGGAGCTGCCGCCGCCAACGCGGGTCACCGCATGGGTGCCCCGCCGCCGCTCCCGCCGTGTCCCGGCGCAGGGGCACCTGCTTGGGTGGCGGGTGTCCGCGGGCTGGCTGGCGGCGCCGAGCAAAGCGGGACGAGCGGGACTCGGGGCAGAGCCGCGCCCGGTCAAGGCGGGTCGGGCCGGGTCGGGTCGAGCCCGACCGGCGGCGTCGCCTCCCGGGATTGCCCCTCAGCCTCGCGCCGCCGCCTGCTCGCCCGGCGCTGCCATTGCCGCGGCCGGGGCGGCTACCGCCGCCTGTTCCAGGCTCCCGCCTGATGATTGCCAAGTGCTTCAGAAATCAGCATCTGGAGAGAGCAATCTTCTTCTCCGGGGAGAGCTGTAATCACGGCTCTTCAGTCCCACCCCGCTCCAGCCTCCCCTACACACGCACGCACACACACACACATACACACACACACACACACAGGCACGCACCGCTGGAGCTTATTTTGTCCTCCCCAAGGCGAGGGGCGGCGAGGGTGCCAGGGGTGGAGGAGGGACGGGGGACAGGCAGGAGAATAAAGCAAAGGGGGGCGAGGGGCGGAGGAAAAAGGTGCTGCTGAAGCGGATCTCTGATGGGAAGCAGCGGGTTCCCTGCGGATCCGCAGCCAGCTGCCTCTGCTCCCTCTCAGCTTTCGGGGTTGATTCGAACGGGGCTCCCGCCCCGCGGCTCACGGCCCTCCCCGGCCATGCTGCTTCGCACCAGCTCCCTACCGCCTTTCCCGCCGAGCCTGCGGTGATGCCGGTACCTGCCCCGTTCCCGACCGGGGAAGGTGTGGGGCAGAGGAGGGAGGGCGATGGGGAACCCGCCCGTCTGCCCCTCGTCGCCCCACGCCTCGGTACCGGTCGGGGATGGAGGTGTAGTCCGGCGGGAGAGGGGTTTCTGCTGCGTGCGAAGGTGTTAAGAGCCCTGAGGAACACACGTACGAGGCGGAGTATACCTTCCACCCAAACCAAGACGCGATCTTTGGGAAGAGGTTATTGCACCAGCACACTTTTACCTCGGAGTGCTAACTGATTTCCGAGGTTTCAGAACTACCAAAAGAATTCTGTAGGGCACCCACAAACAGCTGCAGTAGATAGATTTATCTATCACCAACACTTTACTGTGAGGGGGATGAGGCACAGGAACAGGTTACCCGGAGAAGCTGGGAATGCTCCACCCGTGGAATATGTTCAAGGCCAGGTTGGATGGGGCTTTGGAGCATTTGACCAAGCCCCAGCCAAGCTCGCTAGACACAGAATGCCTAAGGAGTGTCTGCCCTACGAAGTCTCTGCCCCCAAGGAGTCCGCAATATGCTGCAGATAATAAATACCATATAAAATATGATATTCCATCTCTTTCCATTCATCTTTTCTGTTCGGTCTTCTCCCTTTTCAAATAAGGGGTCAGTGTTTTCTGGATTTACTTTCTGCCAGGCTAATGGTTAAACTTTCTGAAGTTGCAACTAATCAGAGGAAAGTACAAAAAGGAAGCCAGCAGCTACACAGAAAAAGAGTGCAGAGATATCCTATAAGAGAGGGCAGATTCTCACACAGGGAAATATTATCTAATAAATAGCTAACTTTAAGAATGTTTTAAGAATACTCTAATTTCTTATTAGATGGTTCTTTAGAGAAAACAGACTTTGAAGTGTAAATATCCATCCAGCATAATTCACTGCTTTGCAATGCAGAACCTCCTAGGAAAGTGTAAGTTCTTGTTTCAGCAGAGGCTTCAGCATCTCCAATACTGACCTTTATTTCCTTAAATCCTTTAATCTATAAACGGCTATTTTTATAAGGAGGGCAAAAGTGTATGGTGGGAACTCCCTTATACAGGGATTTTGTATTAATGCTAGACCAACTAGGAGCAGAACATGCACAATCGGATCTGGATAATACATTTTAATTCTATTTAAGAGTGTCTCTAAAGAGATTCAGCTAAAACGCATTGGATTTTCTATCTGGTGATTTTTACAGAGCAGCAATTTCCTTACAACAGTAACAATTACCTTAACTAATGCAATTAGACAGTGAGGTGGGTCTTCTTATTTAGATTTCACTGTTACAGTTTTGCATACTGCTTCCTTTCCTTAATTCCCAACAGCAGACAAGACATGGTATTGCCTTCCTTAAGTGTCCTCAAGACAGCAGCCCTCCTCCAGATGCTGTCCCAGCGGGTCTCCCAACCCCCATCTCTGGTCCCTGTCCCAGTCCTGGCTCCTCATGCCCGATGGACAGCTGAGCAGAGGCTGGATATATATGGCCCTGGGACATCCCCTGCCACCAGAGGAAGAGGTGACAGGACACAGCCCAGTGGCTTCTACTCAACCTAGGTCCAAATGAATGAATGAGAGGGAGTAGAGTGAAATAAAGGCCAATCCTCTACTGTCTTTAATTTTCACAGGAATTTAGGAGACGAATACCTGCAGCCCTAACTTTTGCACAAGAAACTCCACAAAGATGTAGGTTCCACATTTCCTTTCACTGGAAGGGCCTCTTTGTATTATCCAATCATGCTATGCACTATATACTATCTACTACTATTGTTCCCTTTCCTTAGTTTCCTTCAAATACTAGGCCTTTGCCAAAGTGCACTGACATTTCTCAGTAATATGATTCTCAGGGTGATAGTAAAGAAAGGAAAGAATGAAGGTGAAAATGGACAGGATGCCTATAGAGAAGAGAAAATGTGATTGTTACTCCAGAGATCAAAAACAATAGCTTTCTCCTTGCATCTCAGAAATGCGGAGCAGTTGTTTACAGTTTGAGGTTTTGCAAAGAAAACTCAAGAGAGCCATCTGCTGTCTTAACCTGTGATAAAATGTGTGCAATTCTAGTCAAAGCGAAGGTTCTGCTAACAAATGGTTTGTACAAGTATGAATATATTGGCTACCTTAAAGACTAGTGACTGCATGAGTTTATACATTTAGGACAAATGGAAATATCTTCGCTTTAACGTTTGGAACAGTATAATAGAATTTTATTTCTGAGTAACAAAACTCAGGATATGAAAACAAACGATTAAAAGCAAAAGAGGGGGAGAAGTGATTTTCAATACTTTCTGTTTTCCCATCTGTTCATTTCTAACTCCTAATTTATAATTATTATTCAGGAGTTTTCTAAATCAAAAACGTTTCAGAATATTTAAAATTACTTGCTTGAATTATTTTTGAAGGAAAACACTCAACAGATATAAAGTGTGCATCAAATGCTTTATCGTATACTAGGGTATCAAACATTATTATTATCCTAAATTTATTTTTTTTTCTTTATTACTGGGGATAAACCACATTCTGTTTCATCTAATTTAAAATGTAAATTACAGTGTGGTATTTTCAAGCATCAAAGTTCAATATTAAAATGTACACTGTTAATATTTGTGTATATACATGTAATAGTGACACATAAAATACTTTTATAAGGGTTTCCATAATGAAAAATGAGATTTTATGCTTTATATTCTAGCCTAACTTAGATCTATAGGCTACAAAATTTACAGAGTCAGAAATGTAATCTTTATGCTTTAAAGGGTTGTGTTTGTTGGCTTTCTTTATTGTGATTGGGGTTTTTTTTTTAAGTTATTATTTCTGTATTTAATTTTTTTTTCTCCTACTGGTATGTTTTGCATTAGGTTGGAAAAAGTTACAAGCTACAGAGTTATTTTTGGTCAATGCAGGTATGAAAACCCTACAAACTTCATAAACGATTTCAACATAAAAATGTCTTTCTACAGGTACACACATACACACTCCACCTACATTTTCTCCTCCCAGATATCCTGAACCTATTCTTTATATTAAAACCAAACCAAATCAAATCAAACCCTAAGACAAGTATCCCAGGAAGATGTGTGCTACAGTTGCAAACAAAGTTAATACCTTACTCCTTAAAACTCCATTCAAACTTCAAAGGCTACTCTAGGAGCAAAAGTACCAATTTAGGGATAACAGTTGCAACGTATACTTAAGAGTACATCTGGGCCACTGGGAACATTCAATGTCATTCTAAGCAGAGATGTCTCAGCGGTGAAAAAATACTTGTTTATAAATTCTGGTGGATGCATTTAATCAACATTCTGGTGCTTTTGATAAGACAGCAGACTGATTACCAAAGGGCTTTTATCAGCTAAGGTTGTGGTTCTGAACATTTGTTGGTACTGATCAAAAATTTATTGAAGGTTGCTGGTAATTTGGAGGACCGTAATTCAAGTGTCTGAATTCAATTTATGTACTAAGACACCTCCACTCCCACAAAATGGCCTCATGAGAAAATGTGGTTCTGTTTTACAAATATGATTATTCATATAACTACAAACTAATACTTGTGCAAGGCACACAGAGTGTACATATGGCGGGGGGAGGCTGTTGGTAAGAAAAAGTAACGCAGTTCTCTATTTAATTTTCTTGGGACACAAAGAGCTATAACTTTACAACTTGAAGGAGGTGAGAGAAATATGATCTATGGCTTACTCTGCAGGTTGGTAAGTGTTCAATGTTCAAAAACAAATAATAAGCTAGAAAAACACGTGAACATAAAAGGTCATTTTTTTTTCATGCGAGTATGAACATACTAAAACGTGGGTAAGAATTTCTTTTCCATATAGTTTATGTGCATTCCGTGCTTATTATAAGAGTAGTATGGTTGTGCAAGGAGCTTTAAACTTTTTAAGTTAGGTCAGTTTTACATGTTCTCCTATGTTTTTGTGGATATAATTCTCCTTATAATTTGTTAACTTCTCAGAAGACAATGAACTGTGAAGCACTGTAATTTAAAATCCTTACCACCCTGAACACTTGATGCTGGTTGATTAAACTTTGATGAGCATTAGGAACAAATTTTATTAAACATACTAATATAGTTGACAGAATTTGGGTATCTGCTTTCACACTTTCTCCATCAAAAGCACTTAGCTTTCAGTCTCAACATTCACAATGCACTCCAGGAGACAATGCCATACCTATTGAAGCTGTTGACTACTTAGACCTTCTATGTGTTCAGCATATTTTAATAGGTATGACTTTGGCTCCTTGAGTGTATTGTGTTAAGGTGAATCCTTTAAATAAGATTAAAGTAAGTTTCCAGCATGTTGTTTGAAGAACTGCACGTATTTTAGCTTCACAGGTTTTGGTCCTGCTAAACTTCATGTATCTGAGTTGTAAGAAGAACTATTCAAACATAATTAGAATATATGTAAGAATAAATTAATCTGCCATGCAAGGAAGTCCTACATCAGATTACTAGTTATGCAGAGAACTATCAATGTCACCATTACTAGATATAAGATCTATGGAAGTATAAATGTCTATGCCCACTCAGAGCCAATGTGTTAGTGCAGCATTTGGTCTGCATTGACTGGCGACATCTTTTACACATTACCTGGAATATGCCTACAGCTGGAAGGACTGAGTATCTCTACATTAGTAAGGATTCAACTTC